GTAGAAGCAGGATCCATCTCTTAAGTGATGGAAAATACTGTCAATATCATAGGATTACTTGTAGTTGGGAAGTATGTGGTATAAGAAATGTCTGATTCTAAATCTGGGAATTTTCTTTTCTTCCTTCTGCCCATACTTACCCTTCTGGTAGTAGAGCTAGCAGTTGTTTCTTGCATAGCTTGATGACAAAATACTTSGGGGACAGGAAGGTATTTTTGTTTTCTGTGGACATGTACAAAAATTTGTCTGACTAGAGAGCAGATAATTTAAGCTCTTTAATATCTTTTCCTATAGGAATAATGCTCAATATTTTGTAACCCTGCATTATAAAAGAAATGTAGAATTACTGATTTTTTTTGACTCCTATTCATGACAATGTCACAGCATTAGTTTTCAAGTTTAATTTTAGAATATCAGGATTTTATCAGGTTAAGTATCTGTGGCTTTCACAGAAGTAAAATACCCCAGTAGTGCATGCCCAGAAGACCCCCATTGCTGTACCTTCCTGGCCAGCACCGTTAAAAAACTGCTGTGTTAGGAAATGCTGCTTCATCTGACTTTGTTTTCTTGCTCTGCTTTTTCTTTATGTTGGTTGAAAATCTTCCCATGTGAACGATTACAAAATCAAGGGGCATGTGCAATAGATCATATATATATATATATACATATATATATTTTAATACTTGTGGACAAAATGATGTTACAAGTTGTTTGAAAACAACAAAATCACCAATGTCTTCCATTTTGAGATGTGTATAGTTCCATAAGCATTAGTGCTTTGTAGCAAACTGTAGTGCCACATTAGGATCAGTGCATGAGCCTAGTAGTATTTTTACAATTTCAGAGTGACAAATTTATTGGTAAACAGTGATGATAATGTAATTAACACTAGAAAGGATACAATAGAAATGTCACAAACATGGTCTAAAAATGCAGTATCCTCCCTTTGACAAGGCAATGCTATCCTTAGAAATGAAACTCATTCACTTAATGGGCTTCATAGAATCATAGTTGACTTTTTGATATTTGTCTGTCTGTCCAACTGCAATAGTAAGCTAGAGTATGCAAGCATCCATAATTCTAGTGTGTATCAGTGGCTTTCTTTTCTTTTTAATCTTTGTTSGGTTTTTATATTTTCTATTTTATTGAGTTCAATTTATTACCCATCCTGTGATAGAAAAGTATAAATATGATAAGGAGTTTGTGTGCATTCTGTGCACATCTCTGTTACCTTCAGATCATTTATAGAGTCTGTTAAGTAATCTTTTTTTTTCAGATCTGACTGTRTTATTATTACAGCTAGTAAAACATTATCCTTATTGTGTGAGAAGTTAATAGTTGCAAAATGTGATGTGCTAATTAGGCGTAGAAGGCTTTTATCCATTATTGCAGGAATGGGGAACCTTTTTTGGCTGAAGTCCTATTGAATCTTACAATAATTTTGGTGGATCCTGCATTTACATACATCTTAATAGGAGAGAATGTAATAAGGTCAGAGAGGCTGTTGAAAAACAATGTTGCAGACTGTATGTATCTGTGCAGCAGGCTGTCTCTAGCCAGTGGATCAGAGATTCCCCACCCCTGTATTATTGAGAATTCAATATCTTGTATTTTAGGTAACTTCTAGTTTTGCTTTCCAGCTCTAAGCTCAATTTTAATGATATCTGTCTCTCCCTCTGCTTTTTTCAGAAGGAAAGTTTAGACCGGGGAAGTGAAAATGATTTAGATAGAACTCAATGGGCAGCTTGGACTGGTCAAATAGGAGACTGGTATGATTCTTGAGATGTGCATTGCTCTGTGGATGGCATCCTCTGATTTCCTAGGAATAAGTCTTTTGTTTGGTGCCAGTGCTGCTCTTCACCCATTTCTCTCTTACAAGAACAAAATTCTCTTTCAGCTTAGAGAGGATACTGCATCTTTTTTTCCTGAGACCTGCCTGTAAATGGCCATTAGGGGGAGGGAGGGAACRGGTAGCTTGGTTTGTAATTTTGGTATGATATATCTTTAAAGTAATTAATCAAGAAGCATGTACTTCTGTGCAATGACAGTAATCCAGGCAGAGTTAATGTATGTAACAGGGAAAAAAAAAACCCCAACGAAACCAACCAAACAACCCTCTGCATCTAATAAATTTCTGAGAAAATGGGATGGGTGGGCCATTTACGGCAGAGCTCTGGAGGACCTGTGCTAAGAGTCAGGTTCGATTCTAAATGGACGTAGCTGTACCATTGAATAAAGTAGTTTAGCRCTTGGGAGAATCAATTGAAAAATACCTCTGAAACTGGAATGCAAAATAGCACAGTATGTAGGGGGAAGAATCCCTGATGCAAACAAAGCCATAAGATGATTTAATAAGAAAATAGAACTTTAGTAGCAATAACTGTTTTGCATGTGATAGTGAATAACTTGCATTAGCAAGACTGTACAGTAGGGTAAGTGGGTAATAACCAAATAAGTTTGTGGCGCTCTGTGCTGCAGGGAGTTGTGTGAAGAGTCTTCCTGAGAAGAAGAGTGAATTCTTCTACTGTTCCTCTCATTGGAGGGAATTTGGCACTTGAATACTAAGTTAATGAACTTGAGATATATATATATATAAAAAGAAAAATTAGCTTTGCCACATGTCTGAAGCACTGTCAGTAAGTGCTGGGGGAAGGGCAGACAGTTCTTTTTGAAAGGATAGCTGAAGTTTTCCTGTAATATTTTGCTTTCCTTTGTAGCCTAGCCCTTGCTCTGTTTCTCTGAGAAACTAAACCTTTCTAAATACTGGATTGTGAAGAGAACCTGATTCTAAAGTTAGAAACTTCTTGTGGAAGGTACTTTCTGTTTTYTTTGTTTATAATGACCAATCTGAGATAGTCTTTAAATAAATAAAAAGAGCACTTGACACTCAAAACATTTGTGCACACCAAGCACAACTGTAGAATTCTAAAAATGTTACCGCAGAAAATAATTTCAACTTTGCTAAACACTGTTTCAAATYATAATTTCAAATCATTTCAGTTGGTGCCTGAAGTTTTGCAGAGGAAGTTACTTTGAAGCCTCTGGTAATACAAAGCGTTATTGATCTACACCTGTAGATCTGCACCAAACAAATAATTTACTATCAAAGGATTGTATAAAAGAGCCACRGGAATTGTAAAATGTTCCTAGTTGGCACTTTTCAGTGTAGGCATCTAGTCTATACAGTATGTATGGCCCAACAGATAGTAATGTATTCTGAATTATTTCATCAGAGGTTTAGGTCAATCTAACTGGATTTCTTCTGGAAAGCTGAAGTAATTTAGACTGTAACTTACAGCTTAATAGAGACTTCTTGTGTTTTTAAAGCAGTTATGAGGGTGAAGCACTTTGRCTCTTCATAAATTGATAATGGAACTGTGAGGGCTTTGAGCATTTTTACAATACAAAGCAACAACGTAAGCAGGAGAATGTCTAAATCAAGTGTTGGCTAATATGTAATATGCATATGAAAAGCTAATTGATCTGAAAGGTTGTGATCAGCTTAAATTCCAACTATTTTTGATAAAATTGGAAGCTGGCCATTGGGGACCTTAATTTGATTGCACTCTGATTACATTAGATAAATTATAAATATAYCCTGGTCTGTGGTCAGCAAGTTAATTCACATAATAATGAAATAATCATGAAAATAGAGTCATGTTCATGCTTCAGAAGTATGAACTTTGCGGCTGAACAAAATTCTTCAAGGGTAAAGCAGAAAAGCAGAGGAGGAAGTAAAGACTGATGTGGCCAGCCAGGCAAGCTATCTGGATATACTTCCCAGTTCAGGCTTTTATAATGATCTGAATTCTGTAAGCTACTAGACTAGAAATTACTATTCACAACAACAAAAGGAATCCMTTTGCCTTTCAGCTCTTGTACTATGACTTTTGCTTCAAACTCCTTGATTTATCAGATTCTAAACCTGAGTGGAAGTTTCAGATGCTACCACACTTCGGTGTTTGATGTCAAGGGTGTAATGACCAGTATGGACATGTCTCTTTAGCAGTACTAAACCCAGATGATACAAATAYATGCTGTTTGTATGTCCAGTAGTGCTTCTGCAGAAGGTCTGGCCAGACATGTGCTGGGAATTGCACCTTCAAGAATTGTGCCTTCTGAAACTGAGGGTTATTGTCATATCTAGGAGAAAAAAGAAAGTCTTGCAAATACTTGTTGATAGTGAGTGAGAAGAAACGGTACTGAGCTTGAGGACACTGRCACTTTAGACAGGGATTACATTGTCAAGAGCTGGCAGTCTGGGTTTCTGGGCAGAAAAGGAAAAAGTATTGAAGATAAAACAATTTTTGGTGTGTAACGAATCTTGGAAATTAGTCCTTCTTGCATCATTTGGAAACTGGCTGGTCTTCCTCTAAAACTAGTAATCCTGCTTGCTGGACTACTTGCAGGTACAGAGCTGCAGAATGGCAGTTCAGGTTAGATTCCACTGGATTTCTTTTACTGAATGATCCAGCATTTTGCCCCTGTAGCACTTGGGCTCACAAAAGCCAACAGTTGAACCAGGGTGTCTTGTTTAACAATGCAGACCACTAGCCATGGGTTCTGATGTCTGTTCCCTTTCAGTCTCTACATTTCCTCCTGCGTTTTCGAGAAAGTGTCAGTGTTCATGATGTCAGTAGAGCGTGTTTCTGTTTCTGAGCCTTTGTACTGGRTTAAAATATAGACAGATTCCCAACACTTCACCCCATCTAAAGTTAAAGATAGAAGGTAACTTACTGTTCAGTGTGTCCTATGTAAATCTTGTCTGCTTCTCTCTGCTTTCCCTCCAAATGAGCGTGTTTGCAGGTCARATAAAAGGCAGGTAGTTTGTAATGCCTCAGGCATGAAGAACTGCATGGAGAAACTGAAGGAAAGCGGCACAGGCCCACAAACCAGATCTTAGAGCTAGTATTCTAATTATGCATGATTCAAAATGTCTAGTGTAATGTAGTTATTACCAGTAAATTGAGATATGCATTTATACATAATGAAGCAATAGGAATTAATATACCAATAGCTTGAACTTCCTGCTTTGATTCTCAGATTTTGGATTTTTATAGAGAATGTGCTGCCTCTGTAGAGAAGGGGGCAGAACGTATAGATAGGGACAGAAGCATGGCACCAAAACTGTAAATCAGAAACCAGGATCAGCAGAACTCGCCTTTATAACCTCTTGTCTGGTTCACATCATTGTCCTGAGCATGTAAAAAACAGGGCATGAACTAAGCATGTTTAAAGGCGAGATGGGGTTTCTCACCTGCTGCAGCTGTAGCAAGGAAAAGGGTGCAGAGTTTCTTACGCGGTGCAGGGGGATCAACTGGGTGGGAAGAAAAAAAAACAAACCCACAAAACAACACAGGAAAACCACCCCAAAACCCAAGCCAACAAACAAGTAACAGAAACCACAGACTCAAATTGAGTGTAGTATTTGCGAGACAGTAGGTAATGAGCTTGAGTGTGGTGAGAGAAATTATTTAAGGGAAGACTGAAATTAATAAGCACAGTACATATTTTTCAGGTGTTGAATAGCTTTTTAATAGACAGTATTTTCAGGTAACTCTAGCCACAAAGGCAGCTGTACTGAAGCATACTGGTACCAGCCAGCAATAATGGCATCCGCAGGAATGAACCTGAAAATACTGGTAATTTGTATATTTTTTAAGTTCTTTAAAGATATTTTTAAAACAGAAAATGAGATTTGATCACTGAAGGTCTTTATCTTCTGCAACAGAGGTTGCAATTGTCTTTTTTTCTTTATTTCACTTATTAAATAAAAGGGAATTTGGGTGCCATCTTTCTGTAAACTCTTAGTGTGTTCTCTGTAATTCAAGTCTCTTAGTGGTTAATGCAGTTAATTTCTGTTGGCAGTTTGGAAATAAGAGAATGTGTGGCATAGCCTAMATCACTAATACTTTTCCAAGTTTAAACTTGTAATTAAACATATAGAATACTAGCTTGTTACTGCAGWATTCCATACTTGTAGCTTAGCTTAATTTTTAAGTGGGCTTATCTTGTGCARAACACTTCTCCATGTACAGAGGCTCAGTCCTCTCTCTTAAAYAGAAAGAAGTGTCTTGGAGGAAGAAATTGTATGTCAAGTTAACTCCTGTTTATACTTCATAGCCAACCATTATAAAGCACGGTGATTTGGGTTTAGAGTGGGAGTTAYGTTTTTTCCCATGAATGCTTTTTTTAGATATATAAGAATTGCCAAATGAAGATAGGAATATTACAAAATAAAATAACYATTCTATGGTATCACAAGTAAGAGTGAATGAAAGTCTTTGAGCCAACTTCTTCAAGCAACAAGAAAATTTGTAAGACAAGTTTAGCCCAGCGGTTAACCAAGGTCATTCTTAATTCTTTAGAATACTATGCATGGTTTTAAAGTCTGTTTTGGTTTTTTTTTTTTTTTTTTTTTTTTTTTTTTTTTAAATGACTAAGCCATTGTATCCTTTATATTTCCCTTCAGTATAATCTGGGGAATACTTCAGGATCTCAGTAAAGTTATCTTCCTTTTGAAAATTATAACAGCAAAGGAGAAGCATTAGGTATAAATTCCTAAAAATTACCTTRCTACTTAATAATACTTAATAAAGTACATATACTGAACTTCTGATAGAATTCTTGCATGGATTAGCGGAGGAAATTATTGCTGTGACTATAAWCTATGTACTCCCATTGCACATATTTTACATGGTAACAGTGAAAGAATGTCTCCCTGCAAATTCTGATGTATTTCCAAAAGGCAGCTTGCTTTTATATCTATGCATCTTTGAGGTATTTCAAGATAAGATTTTATTCTTTTCACACTGTAAAGAGGAACTGTTTAAAAATGAACCTGGAAACTCTGCACCTGTATACAAATTTTTTTAGCAATAAAGCAGCACAGGCTGAGAATGCACTAAAACTGGATGTGTCATCTGTTCAGAAGACAAATTCACCAACTTACTATACACTCCACTTCTGAGGTGTACTTGCTGTAGCTTTGTCAAAACTTAACTTGGGCTGAATTCATATATGCTGAGATCTGCTTTGGGGCCAGCTGTCCCAGGAGACTTCAGGCTCAAGAGCCTCTGACTTGGACAGCAACTAAACAAAAATGGTTATTTCACTCATTCTAAGATGCATAACTTAATTAAGAGCTTCAAGGGTTGTTTCAGAGGGTAGCAGAAACCCTCTGATGCTTGTATTGATTGTCTGAAAGTAACACTYCTCAGAAATACAATATTTATTGTTTCTGTAACTTCATTTCTGAAGAACTTTTTCTCTGGTTTGCAGAGGTCCTCCCAGTTTCAAAGATTACCGATATGTAGTTTAAAAATGTATCAGCTATTCTCCAGCACATACTCACTATTTGTTTAAATTCATGCTAAGTAATATAACTTGAGGAATCATTATTTTAATGCTTCATAACAAACCAGGACCCAAGCAAGATAAAATGTKTTTCTTTCTGCAAACATCAAAGGAAAAAGATGTAGACCTAAGACTCACATGATATTGGCAATGATTTATATAATACGAATTTCTGAATTTCAGCTTTTATTTAAGAAGTTCCTTCTTTAACACTTTAATACAAAAATGTAACTGACAGGTTTTTTTTTTTTCTCTTAGGGGTCAACACTAATGAAGCAAAACAATTTAGCAGTATTATTCATAGTAAAGACATGAAGTCTATAGMAAGAAACCGTCTCAGTGCAGAAACTGGCATGAAAGGGCAAAAGCAAGTAGTCCCATTATCAATCACGTTTCTTAGACTGATGCAACAACACAAGCACTGTCACTTAGGAAGTACTACAAAACTGGTATTAGAWTTTGTGAGAGTCCCACCTCTCCCTGCAGAGTAACTGTTGATGTTCTATGGTTTTCCTTCTCACAATGAATCATGTAGAACCCCCACAAAAAAGCAAAAGAGTGAACATTACTAGTAGCCTAAGTACCAGCTGCCCACCTAAAACCTGTGGKGTGCCCTACAGTGAGTTTTGTCCCCTCTGCCCCAAGACCATTACAAGTTATTTTATAAATAAGACAAAACATAGGGAGAACTGGCAGCAGCAGCAATGAGGTGTGCAACCTGCTGGTCATATGTATGGAAGTAGAAGACAATTTGCATCACTGGAATTAAGGTGATCAAGTAAACAGAATCCTCTCTAGTCTACTGCAGATAACTACTATACTTTCCAAAAAGTTATTAGCCCTTTAGGAAAAAACATTAGCCCTTTCGGCAGCAAAAGGGAGAGGAAAAGGACTCTTAAATCTTCCAACAAGAATTAGGGATATTCTCTTCTAGTAACAAAGGGTAAGTAGTGCTCTTTCTTCTCTGTAAAATTACTTTTTAAATGTCTGGAAATAAGCAGAAGCAATTTGCAACAGAATTGCCAATGAGAAATGAGTACCCCTTAGATATTTTTTATTAAACATCTTAACTGGTCAATTGAAGGCAGCAGGCAAATCCTAACTTCAGCACAGCAGTGTTYTCATGATTGTGCAGAAGACTGTTCCTTGGTTTCACAGTTCAAATCCCAGAAAGAAATGCTCAAATCTGTTCAAGGCCGTTGCTCACAACCTCAGCTTGCATAATTTCTCTAAGTCCTGTGCAGCCATGGGGCTGCACTTCCTGCAGACTTAGCAGGCAGGGGGGTTGCCCTTCAACTGAAATCCAAAACCTTGTGTTCTGCCTGCATGCTGCCATCCAGGTTCATGGAGTGAGAAAACTGTGCAGCATCTGTGACATGCTAGTCTGCTGCTTTTGCAGGCAACACACACAAGCAAATCTAAAAACTATTCAGGAGTCCATTTAGCAGTGGCTCACATATGAGATATAGCTAATGAGCCACTTAACTGAAAACTAGCTGCCTGTAAAACCAAGGCTGCCATTAACACTATTGGTATTAAAAGGTAGGACAAAACTTAAGTCTGTAAGAATGTTTAATTTGTAATAGCAGCTCTTGAATCTCATCATCTCATCAGTATGTTTTCCATAGCTCCAGAAACCTGACTTTAGTATTTCAAAGGGTGGTTTTCCCCCTGAAGCAATTAYAAAAACCAGCCTCAGAGTGATGTGCTGCAGGGGTGAGCTGTTCAGTCTTCCAAGCACAACTTTCAGTATGTCAGATTTTTAGGTGTTCTCTTGAAGGGATGCACTTGATCATCAGTTCTYTCCATATATAAAGTGACAAATCAACACTCAAACCCGTTCTGATGCATTATTTCATCATAGTGACCAAACTCAGCAGAGATGCAGAAACAACTCCAGCAGTTCTTGAAAATGGCTATTAGTTGGCATTAACTCTTGTATATCCTGGCAGTAGGTCATCTGGATCTGATGCAGAGTCTTGCCACTCTGTTGCATAATTATTTTGTTCCAGTTTCTTCAGCTTCTTCACCACCAATTCTATGCGAGTGTGGAACTCCAGAAGCTTTTCTTTCACCTAGGAAAAAAACGAGAAATAAGAGTATTAAAATTAGAAAAAAAAAATGCTCGAACACTACATCTTTGAATGACCTGCATTTGACTTTCAGTGGCTAAGGAGAAGCTCACTTTCAAGAWGGAAAGATATACAGGGCTTGATCTCTCTATATTGCATGTTTAGAACAAAAAAGAAAACCAGCACCCAAGTCAGAGGGCTGCACTACAAACTGGAGATGGATGAATGTGTCAGTATCAGCTCTTCCAGGGACACAATGGACATAACTAAGGGGATGGAGTTTTACTTTGATGAATCTGATCCTTTCTAGATAACTCATTGCAAGTTTTCACACAGCCAGAGACTTTGACAATATCTGGACAAACTTTCATTATTAGCTTAGGAATACATATGGACGTTATGTCTCAAAAAGCAAAGGCCAGATGCTTGAGCRTGTTCTAATCAACAAGCAAACTCTCTACAGTCACGTATGAAATAYTCTCATAATTTTAATTCAGTCATGTATTTTTACTGAATTACRTCTCAACTTTAGAAGTTTTGCCTGGGTAAGATTTTTGCATCCTTAGCCTCACTTGACTTGTAAAATACTCTAATCTTATGGACATTGGAAGATGACTTGGAAGAGGACAAAACTTAAGAAGTGTCAAAGGCCCATTGAAAGAGAAACTAAAATCTAAACCCAAAGAAAACTCCCCCCCTCCCCCCAAAAAAGGAGTAAGTAAGCACATAAATGCTGGTTATGCTGGCTGTCTCCTACACACAGTAACTTTATTTGAACTAAGGGACAGGCAATTAGTTAACATAACTAATCAGATTATAGATAAGAACATTCAGTTTGAAGACCAAAACAGGAGGGAGATCCTAGTGTTGTCTCTGAAACTACAAATACTGCTATGGTGTTTTTGAGCTTACACAGACATAAAAGTACAATTCTTTTAAAATGCTTTTCAAATAAAAAAATACTATTTAAAAAATTCTTCAACACAAATAGTAAAACTTAGGCCAAGTCTGTACAAACAATTCTTGGATTTCTTTTCTTTGTAAGGTATAGAGATAAAAGGATAACAAACCTTTGCCAAAATTTAGCTAAACTTGGTATGTTCTGCATATCAGGGGTCTCAGAAAATATGTTGCACATCTGATGCATTCAATCAGTTACTGTCATAAGAGAATCTCAATCTTAGGCAATTAAAAACCCCAAATTTGTATCAATGTTTTTGAACTAATGTCCCAAATTTTCAGCATTTTAGAAGTATTTTCTATTAAAGTTGAAATCTTACTTTCTGCATTTGTTCCATTAAGGTCACAGCAGGAAAATTCACCTTAGAAGCTTCTGTAATCTTTTGGGTTTTTAATAGGTAACTGGAAAGCAAAAGGGGAAAGGAAAAGCCACAAGTAAAACAGTTTAAAAACCCATAGTTGCATTCATTATTTAGATTATTTAAGATTATTTTAAAGCATATACAAGCTTGTTGCCAAAAGTAATCAACAATTACAAAAATATTCATAATAATGGTTTTACTTTGAAATCAGATCTCATCACCAGTAATAAGTAATTTACAGCTTTACTAGTCAAGTCCTCAACCAGTCATGGAACCACTTTGATACCTTATATTAGCTAAATGAATCTGGAACTGAAGGAGATGTCAGTATTGCACACAATTAAATTTAAACTCTTATATTACATGAGGACACTCAAGAAGTGTAAGGCAAACCAAATGGATTCATGTCAACACAAAAAATGTAGACATCAAGGATATTAAAATCCCACACCAATGTGCTCAGACAGAAGTCAAACCACTTTTGTTAGCTGTAGGCTAGTTGTATAAAACTTACAACTCCCTGTGAAGTCACTGACCATAAGAATACAGTGTRCTCACCAGACAATGCTGTCCTTGAAGAAACAGAACAAGCCTCGGAGGTACGCCAGGTCACTGGCAGAAGAATAAAGAATGAAGCCAACGGCCAAGCCACATGACCGACAGGATAATAAATAATATGCACTGAAAGGAGAAAGGGAAACGTGTTCTGAAGCAGAAGCTTTTGAAACCATAGATGCTCCACGTTTCCAGAGGGCATCAAATTGTCAGTTCTACTGGGGCAAAATCCAAGACATAAAAACACCTCCTCCTCAAAAAAAAATGTGTAATGAGCATAAGAATTTTGGCATGTTGTAAAAGAAGCAATCTCACTATTAAGTGAAGTTGCAATTAAAAAATGCACTAAAATCTTACTATCACAGAGTAGTTTAGACTATGCTACTCAAACATGACCTAACTGATGCCATAGGTATCATGTGCCAGGTGAAAATTCTTTARTAAAACAGATTTTTGCCCCATGCAGAGGAAGGTGCAAGGAAAAAAAAATTAAAAAAGGGAAAGTCTTCTACTGAAAAGGTCCCCAGTCCTTATAGCTCATAAAACAGCCTTTAAACATAATTGAAACACGCTACCGGTTCTGTAAGCCCCCAATGACATTTTACATCCTTCCTATTAGACCGAGTTACCAAACCTCTTGCTAACTGTASGTTTCATGAATAGGACAGCACAAATTTTTGTTTTCACTATCAAGAAAATCCAACCAACCAAAATCAACATCCCTTCCCCACTGCCCCCAAACCCCAAAACCAAAGCAAAACAAAAATCCCCACCAAACCAAACAAAACCCAGAGATGTTTTAATTTAACTAAGAGACCTTTTAGGGAAAAGAAGAAAGGGACCTAAAGTTCAGCTGTCTTTTACTGCACTGCTCAAACGTTCCTTTCCGCCTATAGCAGTCAAAACAAAAAAAAGCAAACTTTTGATCAAGCGAAAACTACATCCCTACAAAAGGTTTCTCCATCTGAAGTGGTTAAACAGGCACAGAAGTCACTTGGGGGTTTGCCAAGCACCTGAGAACCCTCCACGCACAAGCCGGAGGARCTCCCGGCTCCCATTTACCGCGGTGGCCGCTGACGGCAGCCCCGATGCCAAGAGCCGGAACCACGTGCGATACGCACCATCCCAGGAGGGCTCCCTCGAGGCCGACCAACAGCGAATCATCCCAGGTCACATCGCTGGTGACTTCTGGGGAGAAAAGAGAGAGACGCGCTGCAGCCGAGAGCCCCCGGACCAGCGCCAGCCCCAGCCCGCCCTGAGCACTCGCGGGGCAGCGGCGCGTCCCCGACACCCCCCCAGACGAGGCACTGACTGAAGCAGATGAGGACGCTGAGCCCCGGCGGCTCTTGCCCGCACAGCTGCAGCGAGTCCCCCAGCACGGCCCAGCAGCCGCGGCAGTGGAACACGGCGCACTCCGCCGGCAGCGGACCCCGCTGCCACGGCGGCGACGCTGGCACCGGGGACGGCGGCAAGGAAGACGGCGGCAAGGAAGACGAGGACGGCGGCGGCGACAGCGTAATCCAGGAGGTAGCGGCGGGGGCGGACGGCCGCTCCACCACGATGGCCCCGACGGGCTGCGGGTCCCGAAACAGCTCCCGCAGCTGTCGCCGCACCGCCATCTCCTCCCGCCGAGCGTTCGAGCGCGCCGCCCGCCCCCCGAGCCTCGCCATTGGAGCGCCGTTCGCGCATCTGCGTTSCCATTGGTCAGCGGACGCGTCAATCCTCGCCGCCCGAGGTTATTGGGCAGCGAGCCGCGCGGCGCGCGTCTTTCTCTTCCGGGAACTTCTCATCGCSCTTGAAAATAAGCACGCGCGGCGGRCCGCGCCGCCATTGGCCCTTCTGGAGCCCCGCCCCCCTGTAGCCACGCCCCCTTTCCCGGCGCAGCCAATGGGCAGGCGCGGCGGGCAGTTCGAACGGAGGGGGCGGTGCGAGCGGTGTCGGTTGGGCGCGCGGCGAGCAGGGCSGCTCGGTGCTCCTGTCATGGCGCTCCCTTCGCTGCAGCCCCTGGAGGCGCTCAAATACGCCGAACTCCAGCGCATTGCCAAGGCCGCCGGGCTGAGGGCGAACCTGCGGGTGAGGCAGGGACAACTGGGAGGGAGCGGTACCCGGGAAGCTGCAGGTTCTGGGGCTGCTCCCGTGCCCGGCCGTGAACCGACGGAACGCGTCCCCGCGGGCGGTAACCTCGGCTTGGGCACCGCAGCCGCTGCCCCTCCCGGGTCTGGAGCGGCGGTGGCTTCGCGCTGTGGCGCCCCGGGGGCTGTGCTGCTGTCYGGGGTTCGGGCGAGCACTCGGGAGGGGATGGTGCGCGGTTCCTCTGTCCCCTAAGCATCGAGTAGGGGAGGCTGCCCCCTTTTTGCCTGGCTGTTCTCCACCCCGCCGTGCTGTTTGCCCTCAGTGCGGGTGGTTGGGGTTCGTTGTTTGGGGTTTTTTTAACGACTCGGAGGAACAGTGACAACAGGGTCACTGTTGTGACTCCTATGGTCCCTCCTTAAGGGTGGAGAGGGCGCGGTTAAGGGGGACGCGGTTTAAGGACGTCCCAGTGTCCTGCCTGGAGCTGCGGGTGTGACACGGCCTGGCCTCTCCTCGCAGCCGCTGCCAGCAATGGGAGAAGTCATAAAGCTTTAAAAGAAAGATTCACAACTTGGGTGGATAAGGCAGCTCCSTCTCCTCACACGATTAAGAATTATCCTGGCAGTGTTAGTTTTGGGGTATTTAGTTTGATTTTACCATTTCAATTAGGTGCTTGGGAGTCTTTCATAGCTGGAATTRTTAATGGTGTGTTTTCATTATTTTATTGCTATTACTGCTGAATGTGTGCGAGAGATGAAAAGAATGCTTTGCACGTAGCACGGACAAGACAGAATCAATTGCAGAAATTTGATAGGATTTTGAGTTCAGTGGGRCTTAAAGCAGTCTGTCTTATTCCTTGAACAGTTAACCTTCTGGAAAACAGATCAGGGAAACCTAGTCAAGGAAAATTGGCTTTGTGCCTCTGTGGAGAATAYTTATCTGTGGCCTTAGGCAGTTCGTCTAATTTGACAGACTCAAATGAAGTGAGGCATGCCTTACTTGGTTGGATTCAGGAAATGTTCTGCTTGTTTGTTGGATCCGTTTATAGGACGCTGGTTGGGCTTATGCAGTTCTTCAATGACTTAATGGACTGTTTGATTCATGTGCTGTTTTCACTTCTTTTCAGGCAGACAAATTACTGGAATCATTGAAGCAACACTTTGAAGGGACAAAAGAAGAAAGTGAAACTATGGTAATAGATAATAAATCAGCCACTGCTTTTAAGAAATACAAATTTTAATTTGTAACCAATAGAGCAGGGCGTGTGCTTGAAAGTTGTTTTTCACCATGATGGAAACTGTAATAKAAATACATTTTTCTTCTTCGTTCTTTTTAGTTTGAAGTACTCATGTACTGCTAGAAATAGATATGCTAATGTTAGTTTTGAAGTGGCATCCTCTATGACCGAAAGCTGATTTCCTTTCAGCTGCCAAAATTATCAATGTATTTTTCACCATCAGTACAAAATTATTCTCTGTGAGCACTAACATTAAATTTCCACTGAAAAAAAAATTAATTCTTGCCTGTTGGGCTCCAGACATTATTCAGTATCAAATACAAAAATATTTTATCCATTTTGCATGCCTAGATGAAGGGGACTAGATAATTGGAAAGCATTTTGCATCTACTACAATTTACTTACCCTAAAATGAAAGCAATACAGTTCTTCTACTTCCTTTATTTGTCTCTTAGTGTAGTGTTTTCTTAACTTCTTTTTAAAGTTTTCCGTAAGCTGAATTATTTTGTTGAATGTGGCGATGTTTTTGAAGTTTTTGATAAAAAGTAATTTGCTATCTACTTTTTCTAAAATACTTTTAGAAAAAGCACCCTTTAAGTGCTTTCCTTAAAATTCTTCAAAGATTTGAGGACCTGGTGTAAACTTGGTCAGCTTTCTTAAAATGTTAATGAGCATGAAAAGAGCCCTGTTTTTATTGGTGAAGAGTATTCCACAAAGAACAAATCTAGGAGGGTCATGGCATCATGCAAGTTAGATTTCTAATATAAAATATTAGGCCTTTATAATCTTATTTAAATGAAATGTGATAAAACAATCACAGGAATTGTATTTAAAGTCTCCAAACAATTAGCTTTGATGTTTTGGGGGATCTAGATAGTGCCAGTTTCTTGATTAYTATGCTGCTAAATGGCATGCCACTGCTTTTCCTCTGTGTAAAACACCTTTTTCACTAATAAAATTGAAACATTCCMTGGAGTATTTAATTTATGTTTGTGTCAGATATCTTCCAATTATAGTATTTTTCTGCTACAGGATCCTGTAAAGAGTGCATCTGCTTCCATTAGATTGGATGAACTGAGCAATCAGGAGGAAATTATGTCTGATTCAGTGTGTATTATTACAAAAAGATGTGGTAAAGAAAAGAAAATAACCAGAAAAAAAAGGAAGTCCCATGAGGAAACTAATACCAGTGAAGAAAACCCAGTGCTTTCTGATGAGAAAGAGGTGATTTGCATTGCATGCTTKTGTGTGCTGACTGTCCTCCCTTCCTCTGAGCATAATTTAAGTACATGTGATTTCTTTTCTACYACCATTTATAGATGGTATATGTTTATATATGTGTGTGTATGAGTATACACACGTATAAAAATTCATATTCAAACATTCTGGTACTGGTCTTTTGTACTTCGTAGCACTGACTTTTGTCTTATCTTGGCTATGAGCTATCCCATAATAAACAGACATTACTTGCTAATCAYTGCTTCAAGAAAATAAATTCCTCTAGGAAATATACAATTCCAAACACTTTATCTGAGACGGCTTTCATTAGTTCATTGTAGTATTCTGAATCTTCAGCTAATTTCATATTTATCTAAAATAAGGCTGTTCTTGCTTTTTTGATACAGAAAAATAATCAAAAGTTGCATGTTTACCTAAACCTCATATTTTTTTTTTGTTGTGAGGTTTGTATGGCTGAGGGACAGAAACAGAAAATCTTTCTGAATCTCTAATTCAAAGCAGACTCAACCTTTGGTTAGACCACAGTGCTTTTAAGGCTTTATCCAATCTGACATTGAAACCCCTGAGGATGAAGGCTATGCAACTCTCTGGGCAATCTGTTCCATTGACTCACTGCTCTCAGAACAACAATCTTTCTCTATTTCCAGTTAAACAAATTGTTTAAACRATGTCTAAATTGCAGGTGCATTCTGAGATGAAAGAAAATGAAGTGCCACAGGGTGAGTACAAAAAGGGACAGAAGGTATTCCAAAACAAGAAGCAAGTAACTGAAGAGAGAGCTATTGAGGATCCAGAGATGGGTACGGGACAGAAGGAAAAAGCAAACATGACTTCTACTAAAAGCAGGGGAGATCAGTGTAAGTAGAAAATAGGAGAAAAAGTAACTTTAATTTGTGCTACTTAAAATAACCAGGAGGTACATTTTATTGTGTCTTCAAAGATTTTTGTGGCTTATCTGGTGGTTAGTACATTGTTTTGGGGATACCWGAAGAAAATTGGTCTCATTTGAGTTTGTTACTTATTTAACATACTGTAACACAAATCCACAAATTCTGCAGTGTTGGAATTTTGCTGGMTTTGACTTCAGAACTCTTGTTTTTAGTGAAGAAGATCTTAAAGATCTGAGTATATTTGGGTTTTGCTGTTCCAAAAGGATCAGTGCCTTTAGGAATACCCTTGTGTTACTTGGCTTCTTTAAGAGGTGGCAAGAAAGGGAGAGCTTTCTTCCTCATGGTTCATTTATCTTTTTCTACAAGTAAACAGTTTGATCTTTTTCCTTCCATGAGTACAAATAGCAGAAAGGAACATAGAATCCTTTATAATTTGTTTGAACTACCCAGGAGTATCTAAATGTGTTCCAGTGGATCACTTTTTTTTCTGATGGTATTTTTAATGCCCCAAACACAATGCCACTGAAAATATGAATTAATTTATCCCCCACTACTTTGTGTAAGCAGCTGACATGAATTCTACCYAATCTAATAATTTCTTGGTATTGTGCATCTGGCAAGTAAGATWCACAGCTGCATTTGCTCTCTTAGGCTGAGTGTATGTAGTCTGTAAGTTATATTATGGATATTCTTGTTGTTCCATAGAATTTACAAGAACAATCTTATGGGAAACCACCAATAATTTTGAACTAATTAAAAAATCTGGGATTTTCTATGAAGACTGTTTTTAAAAACAAAAGCAATAGAATATGTGGGGGATGCTTGGGTTGAGGTAGCACTCATCCTGACAGCTGCTACCATGTTCATCTCTTCCTATAGCTGTAGTTTGCATTTAATATTGACAACTTTCCCTGAAAAATATGTTAGTATTATAAGATACTAAGATAATATGACTTTAGAATTCRTGCTCGGCTTGTGGTTTGTCAAAATACGTTTTTACTGAGAAACCAATTAAAACATTTTTGAGAGACTTAGGACATGTCTACTTCAGYTGGCTTTATTTCTCAAAACCTGAACCCATTTTGAGGAGATAAAGTGTGTTTTTAAACAAATATTGAAACAATTTTTTTTTTTAAATTGGAACAATATTTTAAAACCACTGATTACTTTAAAATGTCTTCCACAAGTTCTAATGATTTTGTCTAACCTTACTGTACCAGGTGATGCTCATCCTGCAGGAGGGAAGATCACTTTACGTGTAGGCCGTGCATCTAGGTCTGCAAGAACAGGAATGGCAGCTACTACACCAAGTAAGATAACCTACCATATTTAGAAATAGATATGTTTTCTCTGTGTAAAACTTTGACTTAGTGTTTTACAACTAAAATTTTGATTGCTGTTCAAAGAAGAGAGTATCTCTTGAAAAAGTAAGCAAATAARAAAAATTCCCAAAGGTTACATTTCAAGGTACGTATTCCAGCTTGTAAATTCATAGTAGTAAAGGACTGGYGTGTATGTTGAAAAACTGGTTTATTGAACRTTTTGGTGAYTTCTGGATATAATACTTGCATTAACGACTTTCAAAGAACAGGAACCCATGCTGTTATTCCTGCTTGTTTAGTTTTCACTTTATAAATACTATGGTTGTGCTGTACTACTGTATATTAGCTCATGTTCATCACTTCTTCAAATGCATTAATTAATCTCAAATTTAGAAGTATTTATTGTTTTCCTTAACTGCAGAATCTGGGGGTCATATTAGATAATSTTTAAAGTCCCTTCCAACCCAAATCATGATTCTATAATCCTACAGATTACAGATGGCCATGTAGCTGATAAAATAGATTCTTTTGGTGCTGTTGGCTGTGTCTACAGCCTTTAATTAGAGGGATRTGTTGTCATATTTGAGGCCATAACAACAGGTGTTGCAGAGTTCTCCTATTAAGTATTAAACTTCCTTCAGACCATATCAGATCTGTGAATCTCATTATTTTTGAAACTTCTTAGACTTTAAAAAGTTGCATGAGGCTCAGTTCAAGAAAATGGAATCTATTGCTGACTACATTGAGAGGAAAAGAAAACTGAATGAAAATTGCAGCGGTTCTCTCAGTGCAGGCAAGGTAAGAGATAATGCAGGAACCCTGTTGGCATATTCATTTATTGCCAGGGCCTCCCTGTAAAAGTTCTATAAGGTCTCTTTAGTTCAATAAGTACCTGGTCATGTGAACATGCTGTGGAATGTTGTAACCAATGAAATTAAGTGTAGTCTTACGCTAGTTATATATAGTTATTTGTATATAACTTACATAACTAGACAAATTTTTACATGTAAATATTGCATAGCTATAGAAACCAACCACTAGCTTGTTAGTTTTGAGTAAATATAGTYAGTTACTGTTGTGAAAGATCTCCTGGAGCTTTTCAAACAACTGTTTGAATTGCTGTAGAACTTAACCAAGGGGATGGGTTATTTTTTTAAGAGTGGGAATTAAATATTAAGTTTCTCATTTGTGCCTGAACTATTGTCCAGTGGCAGTATATGAATCTGCTTTAAAACACAAGCAATATATGTTGTTCTTAGTTCTTGTATTTCACCCTTACATTGGTGAAAGCTGCCAACAGTGCCTCTCACAAGTGCAACAGAGCCTAAAAAAGTGACAATAATGTATCAATAAATGGATGGATGAATACAAGAGTTTGGGTTGGTTATGCTAGCACTGCTAGGTCCTTATCAGATAGTAACACTGAAACTCCTGAACACTACATTTATTTTTTTTAATGACATATATTGTATCAGTGCATGCCTCAGATAAATTACTATTGGCAGGTGCTGACCAAAAGATCAAATCCTTTAAGAGCATCAGAAAAAGACACTTCACATTCTAAGGTATGTGTTGTCAGGTCAATTTAATAATAATAAAACCACCTAAATTAAAAGATGCTATTAAAGAGAGGAAAAGAAAGGGAAAAAGCTGAAAAGGCCATATGCTACTGATTCACTATGTATTTTTCCTTCCTCTTGACTGCTTTTTAGATAAATTTTCAGCAGTCTGGTAACTCATAATTTGCTTTTCCATAGAAACGAGCCAGTGGCAAAAGATGTTTATTCAGCCCAAATGCAGAAAGAGGCAGATTCTCCAACACCTGCACTCCTAGTAACCTCCGGTGCTCACCACGCAATTCTCTGAATGCTGCTAATCGGAGTATTTTATCCCGGAAATCTTCATTTAATCCTTCTGTRCTTTCAACATCCAAAATGAATGTCAGGTAAAAAGAACAAACCAAAGCTACCAGCAAGCCATTTGATATGATACATGTGAAATAATCAACACTGACAGTGATTTTACTGATACTGTATTATTTCTCTTCCAAATATGAACTRTGCAAAATAATTCCGATTACTTTCATACTGGTTTTGTGTCTGGTTTAAGCCTTTTTGTGCTGTTACTATCTTTATTCTTTATTTTTATGTCCGTTAGAGGAATCTCAAATCTTGGCTTTCATTTTGCTAAACCTATCAAGCAAATTATTTTTCTTACTGTGTTGAGTTTTCCACTTTTCCARGCAACCTAATAGCTCCTGTTTATCTGAATTAATTTATCTTTAAATTTTTTTTAATCAGAACTCTATTTGATATTCCATGTGAGTCCTGCAATGGACTTATCATTTGGGGCTTTTAGGTACTTTCTTCCTTTTGTGCTCTACTTTTCCTCCCCTTCAATGTCACACACAGGGGTAATCTGTAGTTTCTAATGTTACTTAGTGCCATTGATGCTGGCTTGAAACTTAATACTGTTATACAGCAAGGTATTTTAGTGCAGCTTTGGCACGTGAACATCTTTCACACAGTAAATCTACTTGTAATAAAAGTAGGATGTAGAACCTCCTATATCCTGGCACATTGCTTGCATTTCTTGTAGGTGACTAAATTTGTCTTCATATTTCTACTAACTTTCAGGTTCTCAGAAGCCACAAAAGATAATGAGCACAAACGGTCTCTAACCAAGACTCCATCTAGAATGTCTCCATACATGCAGGAGATCCACACACCTGATACTCAAAAGAGCTGCAAACTAACAAGTCGGAAGAACAGTAAGGGAAATGGAAGAAATAATGATCTGGCTGCATCAAAGGGTAAAGTGGATGGTGAATACTTGGCTCTTTCAGATCAAGACCCTTGTCTTACTGAATTATTATGTAAATTTTTAACCACCAAATGTCATGTAGATCCAGGTTTTAAATCTCTAATTCATGACTGATTCTTTAGAAACAGCAGTATTTTCTTTGTTTCCTTTGTTTTCCAGTGGTTTGATTAAAATATTTAGGCACCACAACTTAAACATATGATACCTAGCGGCCTACAGAAAAAAAGGATAGAAAATCTAGACCTTTAGGGACTACATAGCAAAAGATTCATTTAGCAGATAGAGGGATATCTCATCTGCAGTGAGGAGTTCCTGACACCTTCTCTTCTCTCCTTGTGGGGGTAGCATGCATCAAGCTTCTAGCTGTGCTTTACAGGACAACCTGTTATCAGCTTCAGCACCCTGACAACTCAGGAACTAAAACTAAGAAAAATCAGAAGTCTTCTGATTACTAATGATCTCTGCAGCAGCACAGCTCTGCTGTCCAGCCATTGATACCATCAGCATCACAGGGACATTTGCACAGGTCAAGAACCCAGAGCTGCCTGGTKTGCTGTATAACAATACTGATGTTTTTAAGGGGCAAACAAAGTTTCCATGCTGATCTGAAGCTGACCTATTTCAAAAGAATGTTKCTTTGTTTAATGTGAAAAAACACTTGGTTCCAAATAAATATAGAGAAACACAATTTGCTGTTAAGGACCAGAAGAACATGTGAAGCTRTATATGCTCTTCCATAGAATAAGCACAGCAAAAGGGCCAGTCTTGCCCTCTCCAGACCTGGAAGCTTCCTATTTCAAGTGTGCAGTTCCATCTTKGGAGGTAGCAGCAGTGGCATTTAATGGCTCTTCGGTCTTGATAATTGTAGTGTGGCCTTCACAGGCACTTTCCAACTTTCTGTGTACATTGATGTTCTTGCTACTATAATTATGGTATCTTGATGTCTTTTGTAGTTCTCACCCCATTCAAGTTTGGAGCTCAATCTGCAGAACCCACAAGTGCAAAGAAGACATTCGATCTCAAAGCAAGTCTCTCTCGGCCACTTCGGTATCAGCCTCATAAAGGTACTGTGAACCTGTGCARTTTGTGTTGGTCACACTCCTTACACTCAGCTGCTCCTACAGGGGGCATTGATACAAATGGTAATAGCCAAGTTTAGTCTCTTTTCCTGTCCCTTTTCCTTTCTCTMTGGGTTCTTATACAGTCTGATGTTAAATTTCTTCATAATATATGCTTTAAGAACCTCCCTACTGAAGATTAAGATTCTATGACCAACAGCACATAAATACAAGAATAAATATCCTTGTATTCCAATGAATAGACGCATGTACAGAAAATATAAAATATTCCTTACATAATAAGGTGGCTTTTTTAATCTCACATGAGAAACTGAACTTTGCGTGGTAAGTGTTAATTTCTAAGTTACAGTCACCTGTTACTACTTATAGAAGAATGACTTGTAGGGAATGGAGTGGTGAAACTGATAATACAACATGAAGAGGCATTTCACCTTAAAGACAACCAGCAAGAAACAGGAGCTAGGATAAATTCACGATAMGAAGTTAAGCACACAATCACTAAACTACTAAACTAGTCTTTCTTTTTGCCCCTAAATTGTAGGACGACTAAAACCTTGGGGAGAATTTAAAGAAAATGCTGTTCCCAGCAAATCTGGTGGTAGCAATAGCTCTTCACGTAAGAAAGATTACAAACAGCCACATCTCCAAACAAGGTTAGTACACCGCTAGTCTTTTTATCAGTAGTATTACTTAAAATAATATGATGACTCATTCTTCTTAGGATTTAAATGTAGTTTGGGAAAGAATACTTTTGTATTAAAGCCATTTTTGCTTCCAGTGGCTGTTCAGTTCTAGGAAGGCCAACACAAAAGGCTACTCTGAACTTGTTACTTTTTTCCATGAAAGGTATCAGTTTCAGAGTTTGAAGATTTACCTTCATCTCAGAAGAAGCTGTTAATATTGACATGCTGTTACCTTGATTGTTAGACCTGTATATCTGAGCAGAAGCATTTGCCTGAACGTCTAGGTTCAGTCCATAATGGTGCTGGTACCTCTGCCTATGGCAAAAGCAGCACACTGATTAAAGTGGTGTTACAGTGGTGGTAAGCTCCAGATGCCTTTGGTTGCTTGTGTCTTTACCTTTAATATAACTTGATGTTATCTGTCTCTCCTTTTTTTTTCCCTCCAGGGAAGAAAGGCGTGAGACACTTGAGCAAGACCGAAAAAAGAAAAAGGCTCACGCTCTTGGAAAACGTAGAGGACTATCTGTGCTTTAGGATGAATAAGAAGTACCTAAGACATCACTGTAAATACTGTTCCTGTCGTGTAAATGCTTGTGCTGTCTGTGTATGGTCCAGGTTGCTACTAGCTAGTGGAATCCAGAGAGCAATTAATGAGTCCCTGTAATGTACCCTGACCTTAATGTTTCTGTCATCCCACTGAAATGAGAGTTCTAACCTTTTAGGAGCTCAGAAGTCTCTTGTTGCTTCATGTTTTCATTTAACTAATTTCCGTAACTAAAAGATATTAAAGAAGAAAATATAAATGGAAAGAAAGATGCTMAAGAAGCCTCCTTGCAACTTAGGATAGACTTGTGCACCGGAATGCACTTGTTGTGTGCTAGAATGCAGGCTTGGGATAGTAACTTCAAAATATTCCACAATGTTCAAAATTACAAGAGTTGGAAGTACCTGCCGGTCCTGTTCTCCATAGCAATCCTTAATCCTTTAGCCATTATTCAGCATTTCTAATTGCATGTTTAAGAAATAGTAGTTCATTCCAAAGAGAAGGAAAAATATGCAAGCTCTGTAGAAAACTAAAAGCTTACAGTATAACATTATTGTAAACTACCTTGTTTTAAAAAGTCACAACTGAGACTTTACAAAAATTACCGACTGAATGCTTTGGACAGTTAAGGTTTTGTTCCTTTCTAGGGTAAATTGCAGATATTAACAAAATTCTCTTGCTTTTCATCTCTAAGATGCTTAAAAGACGTTATAGTAGTGTTGAGGCACATTCAATACCYTGGATTTTAAAGCAGTTGTTATTTTTACATTTAAAAAATACATAGAAAAGTTGTCTGAGTGTATTAGGGATAGAACTAGAAACTAATCCAGCAGTTGTAATCTCAGAGAAAATAAATGTTTCAGTGAATTTAGTGTCCTATCAAATGYGTTGCAATGTCAAGAACAAGGAAATTTTTTTATAAACTTAATGGGGGAAATAAATATTTTGTATATGTTCGGTTCATCACTCGTTTTATTATTTAGTATACTATGTATAGCTGCTTCCCTACCATAGCACTAGTTTTGCTCACACTTATAATTAACTAATCTGTGTTTTTCTGTGCCAAGTTTTCCTCACCAACTCACCTGCCTACACTCCATGAAAGATGTTTGCTTTGTTATCTTTACAAACAATAACCCTCACCCTTCTTTTGCACTTAAGCTGTTGAATTCTGTGCAAAAGGAAAATTGTAGTATGAGATCCTGTTTCAACTTGCTTCATTGTGGTCTCTCCCATACAAAATACAGGTACATTTAGTATTTCTAAAGTGTACCTAAACAAAGTCACTGTGGAGAAGGTCAGTGCTCTGATTACTGAAATCTGTAACAGCTGAAACATAACCATTCAGCACTTGCTTTGTGATGTGTATCCTGAATTACTGAAAACTGTATTTCTCTGAAGCAAGGTATTGAGCTTCTCTGCCACCAGCTGAGGCTGTGACTTCTTACACCACACCTGCATTAGGCTAATTGCACACAGCAAAAGTGGCATCTGCTCTGTCCTGTAATTGTGCTAATTAAGCCAAGTTGTGCCTCCTTAGGGAGCTGATGGAGCTGGGGTTTTCCTCCCACCCCTCCTTTGGAGCATTACTTGTCTCCAACAATCTTAGCTCTGTAACCGTGTAGACTACCCTTAGCAGCTCTAAAGGAAAAGTTAAGCCTGCTGCATAGCTCTTGTTTCCATCTTGGCAGTAGCAGCTTTTTCTTTTTTTGGTTATCCAGAGGAGCCAAAGCTAAAGGTTGAAACASTACTCGTGCTGCTCTTTGTAAATTTCAGTAGCTGAGCCACACTTAGGCACTASTCTCAGCGTTTTTATTCTCCTACCCTCTTCAGTTTAAAACTAGCAGATTCAAGTGTTTTACAATTGTCAACAAMCCACATAATGTAGAAAATTAAAGTGTTGTAAAAAAAAAAAAGAACCACGAACTCATTAAATACTTTTATTTCAATCAAGGTCAGGACAGAAGCCAAAACTTACCCAGAGGAGAGTTACTACTTTGTGAGAACACATCACATCTCCTCCGGCTATGTTCCAGTCCATGTATGTACAATCTCTGCAGGATTCTGTATTTAGGAGTGCAAACATGCCAGTGCTGTCACATTTCATCCACTTAACTGTTTTAAKTTTACACAGGCTCTTCAAGGTGTTAAAAGCCACATTTTAAGAAGTATTTTATAAAAATAAACCAAATATCTGAAGAATTTTCCAAAGGACACCAGCCCAACTTAGACTGGAGTATTCTTGTCATAGGCCTCATAGGCAAACTCTTCTCTATGAGCTCTGTCGTTCAGCAGACCAATAAAATCGATCTCCAGCTGGAATGGACCATTCACTTTATCTCCAATGGTGAAGCCAAGTGTTCTAATCTAATTAAAATACACAGAGGGTACAACATTACAATCAAACTACCACTTGTATCTCCCACTTTCACATTTTACACATTCACAGCCATCTATTTTAAACTGCTATTTGTTGAARATGCAGCAACATTTCTTAAGACTTGAACACTTCACTACCCCATTTTCAGTACAGACCCCAGTGGGAAATTACTTCACATTTGCCTTTCTCCCGCTGTGTTAAACCTTGATTTTAAAGGGCCAGAGCCTAAAGCAACACTGCTACTTTTATCCTTCATGATTTGTGTACAGCCACTTTCATCACAATTGGGTTTCTAAACACATTTTCATAAAGTCACAAAAAGTTCCCTTTTGTGAAAAGGAAAAACAAAGATGTAATTAAGGATGGAAAGGATCATTCTAGATTAAGTTATACACCATGTGCTTTGTGAAAACACCAAACCAGACCTTCTAAACTTAAGTTGGCATGAAATTTAATTACTGAGTTTAATAGTAAGACAAGGYTCTTAGCCACTGTTTTCCAATTAGAATAACATTTTTAGATATAAGAAATCTGTGTGACCTGTGGCTTGCCCAAACAGTCTCTCAGCTCTTACATGTTAAAAAAAAACCTCCACTGTTAATAGTTCAGTCAAGTCACCAGTGCAGCCACTTCATGAACTCAAGCTGCCCTAAAGCCCTGCTCAAAGTGCAGGTCTGAGCAGTGCCTATGATTTTAAGGACTGCTGTTAAGTTCAGAAAAAGAACGCCTAGCATGTATCAGATGAATAATTGTAGACTGAGTCTAAATATGTATTGCAAATGTATACTAAATGTATACTAAATATGCAAATGTATAAAAATAAACAACAGAACAAAGCTAAGTAAATGCATTGAGATTCCTCTGGATCATTCTAATTCTTTCAACGCTTATCCCTTCCCCAGCAGCAAACTCTACAAGCAGCCCCTTGTCTTTTGGAGCCCAGAGAGTTTTTAAAGCTCCTTTTTTTACAAAACACATTGCTACAGATAACTGCGGGAGTCACCTAAACTCTTCTCTGAAGCATGTATTCCTGTGCAAGCCTTAGATACATTGTTMAATAGGAATAAAAAAGGCAGGAAACAGTCAAATTCCTGCCTTCCCAGGTTCCTAGGATAACATATATTAGTATCACGAGGGCCATTCATTTAAGAGTTGGACTTGATGGTCACTGTGTGTCCCTTCCAATTCAGAATATTCTATGTRTGACCAATACATTTTATTTTAAGATTTCTTAAATTGCCTTCACACTGCTTCCCTGATTTTTGAGTTTAAAATATGTTTGTAAAATTACACTGCAAGTGCATAATTTTTACTGTCAAATGCTACATGTAAGGTAACAATCAACAAAACTTCAGCTGAGGGGTGCTTAGATCAAATATTGATTTGTCCCTTTAGCTCCCAGTAAATACTTTTAAACATCCCATATACAATTTAATGTTTTCATTTACCACTTTGAATGACTATATATCCCAAATACTGACAAATTCTTCAGTGGCCTTTTATAACAACTTTCTACCATAGGGATTATTTTTTTCCTTTTAGCTGATGCACCTCCTTCAGATCATTCTTACTTGCTTACTGTGGCCTCAGCTTGTTTCAAAACAGATTGGCTTTATGCTATCAATCACTGAATAGCCCTTAATTTTTAATTTTTTTTTTTTCATTAAGGCAATTAGGAACTGAATGTAGTATTTCAGGTGACAAACACTGATTAAAGTAATGGACCTTTTATTTTCTCCCCATATATATTTCTAACATTGTTTTCCTTTTGGTAGTCCCTGRGCATTAAGCCACTCTCAATTACACTGAAATTTAAAAGATAAAAAAGATACAGAAAAGTTTTTTTCCACCATGCCTCCTGTGAATTACTCTACCTACTTGCAGAAATAAAAAAAAAATGCTCAACACATTTACTTAATACTCAAACTAGAAAGCCTGAAAAACTAAAAAATCGCCTATGTACCCATTGGTTTACTGTGACATCAAGGTCACTATAATAGAGTACATCCTCAGATAAAGTCTCGCAATATGGTTTCCTTGACAGTGTTCTATACCGTAAAGTTTATGATACTTTTAGTATTTTACACAGTAGTGTGCCAAACAGCATTTGAGATTGCTTAGTCACTTTGATCATTCCTCAAAAAGAGATATTTTTGTTGTTTTACTGAAAAGCAAAGTATGTTGTGAAGTCATTTCTTGGTTATACAGATCTCTTTAAGATATTTTTGGAGCTCCTACSAAGTAATGTGACACTGCTATCACAAAGTAGGATAATTTAAATGCAAAGGCAAGCACATGAGAATATAACAAGAGGCCCTTTAATTTCACATTCACAAACATTAGAGAATTTGCRAATTATCTATATCAGGCCAATGTGATCTTGAAGGAAATTCTGAATTTCTTACAGAGTACTGGTGTGTTCCTTATACTGCCTTTTCAAATGAAATKTCAAATAGAGCCTATAGAAAACTTGCCTTGTCTAACCAGACAGGATGCTGGTTATCCTGGACTCTTCCCTGACTGGAGAGAAAGAATTTGGAGAATGGAATCTGACAAACAAAACAAAACAAAATCAGACTTAAGTGTCACCAGTATATAATAGAATCTTAGGAAAAGAAAATAAGCATGTGTTAGTAAAATAATGCTCTGCTATATGTGGTACTAGCATTAATGGGGTACATAAAACTGATGTAAAAAATGGGCCACATTAACCCTTTCAACTGACCACACATAGCCAGCTGCAGGCCCACCCTGTCCTGTGGTGGCTGTACCCATCACAAAGGAGTGTTACCGTCTCAGGACACAACAAAAGGCTTCGGCACAGAAGGTGGCTGTTYACATCGAGAATCCATGAAAACATAAATGAGAAATTACTGCAAAGTCTGGCATGTGTACATACTGACAGCTCGTGGGTACTCAGACTGTGGATTTCACAGTGCAAACTTCAGACATCACTATCTCTTCAGCAAAGCACTTCAGGATAACATAAAAATTACTTTGAAAGCAGTGGGAGCAAGAAAGCGGGCTGGCTGGTGGCTGCTAAGGGTGAGAGGAAAACATCCAAGCCAGCAATGACACACTGACTTTCATCCTCCTCACTCCTCTGTGAAACAGCAGGTTGTTCCACATGACTGGACAATGGTATCATGCAGCACTCAACACCAATTCATAAGGATGTGCAAATCTCCTTATCATTGTCATTAGACAATCATTGTCATTAGACAATCATTGTCATTACAATAGGTCCCCAAGTTGCATCAGAAAAGAGCCGCAACTCACACTTCTTAAAAATATTATTTTGTGTCACAGATTCAAGGGTCACAGACGACAAACTCCAACTCTTGAATCTGACTGACTCTAGAGAGGCTGTAAGTTAAGCAAATTCTTTTACATGGAAAAATCTTACATCATCCTACTCCCATTTGTATTACAGATAAAATGGTTATCACAGAGAATATTCATGGCAACACCTGCTAAGCTTCAGCTGCTTTATCTATCCTATTACTCCAGTAAGAATCAACAACAGGCATTCAGAGGAACATATGGTTGGTTGATCAATCCTTTAACACAATTGACAAAGTGTGCCCTCCCCCAAATTCAATCCTGGGAACKCCTAAGCCAAAAGCACATATCTATTGTATAACAAAAAAGTTGAATRGACAGCAGTAGAAACAAACTGTGAATGTTGAAAGAATTCCCCTYCCCATGTGTTGGCCAGAACCCCAAGATAGCCTCATTAGTTTCAAAGGTTCATTAGTTCACCTTTATTTCCTCCCAGTATGGGCCTCCTCGTGTGAACATGAAGTAGCTGTAGAGGTCATCCTTTTGATGAGAGAAGTAAGGGTCTGTATAAATGTTTACCATCCAAGGTCTGCCATCACCACGGACACGTAAATATAGAGTGTTGAAGTTTGACCAGTCATAAAACTTCTTCCTTTTAAAAGATCCCTACAAATTATTAATAAATAGAATTATTCCTCCTTAATAAAGGAAAACTTTCATTATGAGGAACAGAGCATTGTTGCTTTGATCACYGCTCTTGTTGTTATGTCAGATAGTATTTACTGCAACATAGGGAAAACTGGGMTACTCTGTCATCATCCTGGCTGCCGAGCTCACTGAATTTCCTTCAGCACTATATTAGAGCCCACAAATTTGCAACAGTACCACTCTGAGGACTCACACGTTCATTATAAGCCAATTTTGTAACTATCAGAAATCAGACCTCCTTCCTAGGACTGAATTCCCTACCAGGTAAGTATACAAAACTAGAGAGATGGATCAGTACTTATGTAGCTCATTAAGTTTAATTAAGTTTAATATTCTGTGGTCAGTTCTAGATAATTCAGAAGAGATGAAGGAAATTGAAGCAGTGAGATAATGTATCCCCTGTTATAACTTCCCACAGGAAGACTTAACATAAACACTGGGAGCATTTAATGTTTTCCAACTTTCTTTTTATTAATTAAGATCATAAGATTGCAAGCATGTCTAATTCTTTAMTGCATTTTTCCAAAGATCTGAAAAATCCTGATGTTGTCATTTGCATGATGGCAGATCCAAGAATCTTCAGAGAGCTACACTGAGGTCACTTGGAGCAATGGGAGGCAGGGGTCAGGGTTATTCTTGGACTGAAATGCCAAGAACTCAAAATTAGCACCAAAAATTCAAGTTTAGATAGACATCTATTTTAATCATACCAATTTTGGATACAAAGATTCATTCCAGATCCTTCATTTGTAAGGATTCTGCAAACAGGTTTGTCTATTGTACTAAGTAAATAGTAGTAAGTAAATCAAACATGTATTATTCCTTTTCTAAGAAAAGAAAACAAAATCCAAGAAAAATTTTAAGTTCCTTCCAGGTCAAAATATACAGCAGCAATTACATCTCTGAAAGAAAGTTTAAAACTCCAAAGTGATCAGCAGTGAAGAGCAGGCCACTTGCTGTCACTGGGATTCCATGAACACCCTCAGATTCAGTAACAGAAGCTGTGCAAACAGGGAGCTGTACTTACCACTGCTGGTCTAGATCTCATACTGCAATATCCACTGTATTTTGTCTCCCCATCACGAGGTACTTCTGTATTGAGGGTTCCATACAGCAGAGCAGCCTGGTTATTCCTACCCAATTTGAGATAAACTTCACTTTTCCCTCCAATCTCTACATCAGAGGAAATAACCCACTTATTTAAATCTTCTTGGCTCCGAAACTGCCACAACACCCTCGTGTGTTCCAGCAGGTGCTGACTTAATGGATGGCCTCCAGGTCCCAGTAAGTAATCTTGTGTTTCCTTYTTCAGCAAGCTTAGCTGGGTCTTTAGGTGATCAATGCTCTTCTTAAAGCTGAAATCAACATTCTGCCAAGATGGTTTTTTCTCAGGCTCTGCCCCTGGCCTCCTGTAGCTGCTGTAAAATTTTGAATTGCTGAGGAGAGGTCCAAATAAGGAGAGCAAAACTTTGTGCCTGCAGCATCCACCATGGAAGGAAGCACCATTTAGCAGCATCACAGTCAGAGTCATACTGGTAAACTTGAAGAATTTACACCCAATAAGGCAATTACTGGGTTGAAAATTTATTTAACAACAAAACTAGCATCCAGAGCTATCTATCTTACTGTAGCTGATCTTCACCTTTAATGAAAAAGAGAAGGTTATAAAAAATTACATATGAGATGCCTGTGAAACTATTTCACTTCTATAATTGGTATTAACTAGAAATGTAAGTCATTGGRAAAATGAATGAAAAAAACCATCATGAATTACACTTCCTCAGGCTCTAGTTCACTTAATGACTCCGACCCTATGCTTTCCCTTCTCTCCATGGTGTGAAATCCCCATGYAAATAAGAAAACCCAAGTAAAATACTTCAAATAAAACTGAAAATAGAAAAAAAAATCAGTTTCTCTTCAACCCTTCCATTGTAAAGAAGTTTCGGTGTCCTGCAGAAGCCACACTGCATGCTTCTTCCATGTCATCCAGCTCCTTGCTCCCTCAACATACCTACTTTAGAATTACAGAGACATTTGCAAAGACCAAAAAATTTATCATAAAACCTGCAATTCAATAGGGTTCTTTATAATAAGGTTTTGAGAAAACTGAAAATCTTCTCTTTGCTTCTCTCTGTATCACTGTTGGTAGGAACAGCTATGCCACATTGCTGTTTTCTAATTCATAAAGGAGAGCCTTAATGATCAATGCTCTGTACAGAGGCTACTATCTCTTACTCATAAAATTAGCAGTTTTCGGTTTTGTTTTGTTTTGTTTTTTTAATGTCACAGAGTAAATAAAAAAATTATGTCACACACAATCAACTTCCTTTAAGAATGGAGTCAAGCACCCCACATAGATTCTCTATATGTCACATACCTTCCGTTACCACGGSAAAATCCACTACTCACACTGCAATTAGGTAATGCCCTGTGGTCTAAAGCTATATTGAATGAATTCACATTCTGCTCCATCGTGCACTTCGCAAGATCGAAGACAAGTTCGAGATCCCGTTTCCTCATTGGTTCACCCAAGTACAAGAATAAAACGGGGAATTTTAAGACGTTTTGCTTTAGCCTGTTCTTTGTCCCTTGGTAACGCTTTAGCAGCCCGCCGCTGTAGCGCCAGCCCGATGCAGCACCCGGCAGCTGCGACGCCTCGGCTTCCGCCAGGGCCCCGCTTGCGCCGCACCGCGCCGTGGCCTGAGCACCGGGCCCGCATCCCGCTCGCCCTCCCGGGCGGGGAGAGGCGAGGCCAGCACACTGGGAGCGGCGGTCGAGGCCTCTCGCCACAGAGCGTCCCCGCGGCTCCCGTTCCGTGACCGACAGACACCGGCGCCGACGCTGCCTCACCTTACCACTGCCGCCGGCGGGTCCGCCGCGCTCGGCCGGACAAGGAACGCACACCGCACCGCGCCGCTCCGGTTCTGCCGCCAGCGACGGCGGCCACCTATGTCCCGGCTGCCGCAGCGGCCGAGGCGCGGTCCTTGATCTCCGCGGGTCTCTGGGCGCGGAGGAGCGGCCGCGGGACGGGGCGCGGGGACAGCGCGCAGCTCCGTGAGGGGACAACGGCAGCGGCCCCGCCCCCGTCCCGCCCCGCGCTTCGCGCATG